AGAGCCCTCCCGGGGAAGCGGAGCCGTGGCCAGCTCTCCCCACGGCCGCTTTGCTCCGGCGTCGCTCTCGCTGACCCGCCGCGCTCTCCTCTCCCGCAGCGTGCTGCAGGCAGAGCCCTCCCAGATCCCCGACCCCCGCCACGTGTGGTCCCGACACAGCCTCCCCATCACGGACTTGTGCTGCGGCTTCGGAGGGCCCTTGGCACGGGCTGCCACAGCCTCCCTTGACCAGACGGCGAAGGTAAAGCTCGGCTCTGTCCCACCGAGCCGGAGCCCCAGAGGGGCGCGGGCCCCACAGGGTTAAAGCGGGGTTTGTGCTGGGCTGCAGCGGAGCTGGCCGGGAGGGCTGCGGTAGCTGAATTTCTTGGCTGTCTCTGCGATGACTCAGAGCTGCCAGAGCTGATGGGCTTTGCCTCTCCAAACACCAGCAGTTTCTCTGCACCTGCCCTCCGGCGGGGCCTCTGCGGGCTTGGCAGCCCCTCTTCTCCTGCGGAATGTCGGGGTCGCTCCTCCCTTCCCCTGCCTTGTCCTTTGGCCTCCAGGGCCGGGAGCAGAGCCTGGAGCCCGCAGCCTGCTCCTCCTGCCCTGCCAGGAGGGCTCTGCCCCGGGGGGCAGGACAGGCACGGGAGGGGGTCAAGGGCCGCGTGTTGAGGCTGATCCTGGGTTCTGCTCTGGTTGTGCCTTGGGTTCCGTGTCCCCTCCGCAGCGGGGAGGGGATGTCGGTGCGCGCTGCCGCCTCGCCGCTGGGCGGGCGCCGGTAAGCAGCAGCGTGTCCTCCCGATCCCGCCGCTAACGTTTAAGCCCCTGACTCTGCTGTACCCCCTCACTCCAGCTCTGGGAGGTCTCATCTGGGGAGCTCCTGCTTTCCGTCCTCTTCGATGTGGGGATCATGGCCGTGACTCTCGACCTCTCCGAGTATCACATGTTCTGCGGCGGCATGGACGGATCCATCTTCCAGGTGGATCTCTGTGCCTGGGTGAGTGTGGGGGCTGCAGAGCTGCTCGGTGCTGCTCCTGAGCCACTGCCCCCTCCTCACTGCCTGACTGGTGTGACCCGCCAGGGCAGGCAGGGGCTGGGTTCCCCTGTGTCTCCTCTGCCCCCTCCAGACAC